TGTCCCTGTTTTTGGAGCACCCAACAGGAGCATGACACATGTATGAGTCCAGCCCACCACTTCATGGCCAGGGCAGGGGTGGAGGGCGTGGGCCAGTGACATGGCTGCTGACCCTTCTGCTGAGTGATGCTGCTGTTGTCTGGTGGAGTCTTCTGAAGCACTGTAAGGGCTGCTTCCCAGTTGGAGTAAGATCATCTCAGTGGGTGAATATCGCATATGGACCAAAAAGTTTGCTCAAGCCTCCCACTTAAGCTGCAGACATCCTGGGTAACTTTTCTTGTGATATCACCTGCAAGCTGAGGTTTCCTATAGCAGATCTTTGAGTTTCCAGCTGGAATGATTTCTGCTCATGTCCCTGGAGGGGAGAAACCCCTGGCATTTGAGTCTGCAACTCCATCTAGGATGCTCCACCCTGAGACTGTTCATGTAGCTTATGAATTCTCCAGTCCATTCCACATTATGATCAGAGGATCCACACCACAGCAGGGCCACAGGTCACATGAGTCTTTTTACCTCTTTGGTCTTTTGCTGGGTTTTGTGTCGCTTTCAAGCTGAAATCTTGCTGGTTAAAACAGGGAAGAATTGGGAGGGAGAGAGGTGACAGAACTCAATACCAAAAACCAAACAAACAAATGAATAAAACCCAATAAATAAAAAGCAAGGAGTAGAGGTCCCAACTGACAACTTGTGACAGAGAAAAAAAATCCTAAATAAACCCTATAGATACACTTGCTCAATAAGTTTGGAGGTCAGACACCTGAGAGATCCATTATTAGGATTTCACTAGCTTCACTCTAGAGATCACCTCTGTCATGCAGATTATTATGATAACAGTTATATAGGTTAATATTAAGGAAACCAGGTCACTGCTGCTGAAAACACTGATCAACCCTTAGGCCTGCAGATGTCCAATGGGTAACGAGAATGGAATGAAAGGCTTTGTATCACTCTCTCAAACTGTGTCTGTCTCCTTTGTTGTCTGAACCTTTGGGTCAGATTCTACTCATCTCTGCGTGTCGATGTGTTGATCATTTGAGAGATGTTTTAGCCACAACGATAATCCAGTGTTAACTCGACCTGACTTGCCTGGCCTCTCTCCTCCAATTCAAGGCTAAAGACTCCTACAGCTTCCATGATAGGAAACACCAGATCATGAAAGGAATGAAAAGAATTGGCACCTGAGTTCCTGGAAGTTCTCTGTCTATTCCCAGAAAGAACACAAATATTGCTTTCCTTTATTAGCCTGTCTCTCTTCTTTATTAGTCCTATCGGATATCTGTGACTCCGCAAATCCATTAGGTGTCAGAAGTTGATTTACAAGCAAAGTTCCCGTTTCTCCATTCTTTGGGCATTGACTGAGCCTTTATTTCTCTGCACACTGATCTCTCAGGCATCGATTTCTCCATTGAATGGGTTTCTGAATCTGGATGTGGGTTCAGTAGCAAAGAGTCCAAAGGTCAAACTCAGTTTCAGTCTTGGCTCCTTTTGCCTTGCTGGATGAAAGCCACAGTCCCTCCCGAAGTCCCAGCTGAAGGCCACTTCTGCTGAAAACAGTGGTCTCCCCTTAGGGCTGCAGATCTCCAATGGTGTGACTAGAATGTCTGTCTCCTTTGCTGCCTTAGCCTTTGGGTTGGATTCTCCTCAGAGCACTCATCCCATAAATGTGTTCAACTACTACGTCTGTTTTTAAAGGGAAACTTTAGATCTTTAGGGAATGATTATAAAACTTAACCAAATAGAAAAATGAAGACATTTCAAACTGTGTGTGTTCCTGTGTAGTCACTCACTGTTCTTCCTGCAACAGGGTGACACTGGGCCCCAAGGATGTCGGCCCAGGTTTAAATAATTCCCGATGTGAGGGTCAGGTTGGCCTCAAGCATCCGGTTCCCCTCCTCATCACACCTTCTGAATTAGAAAACAAGAAAAGTTCCCCAGTGCTCCAGCTTCATGTCTTTTTTTCGTACTGGGCATCGAACTCAGGACCTTGCACTCACGAGGCAGGTGAGGTGCCACTGAGCTAAGTCCCAGCCCCTCAGCTTCATGTCTTACTGACTGGGACAGCAACAGAGCTGTGGGTTTGGTTCCTTCCCCCAGGGGCCATGAAGCAGAGCAGGGGGCAGTGGGGTCGGCCTGGGGATTGCAGAAGGAAACTCAGAGGAAGCTGTGCATGGCAGCTCCGGTTGGGGAAACAGGTGCTCCCAGAAAAAGAACCCACGGAAGGAAGCAATGTCCAGAGGCCACCTGAACACGATGTTCCACACCAGCAGTAGTACATCAAGTGTGCAGGAAGTATTCGAGGAGTGTGGGATTCTGTTCTGATGCTGATGGGGCACAAGGGAGGGTGCTGGGCAGTGGTGTGTATGAGGGGTGGGATTGGGACAATCCCTGGGGGTGCCTAGTGTAATCTGTGCAGGTTCCCACATCCCTCTGTGTCCTGTCTTTCTTTCTGTCTTTCTTCCTGTCTTTCACTCCAGGTGACCCCCCGCCAAGGGGCTGGGCTGAGAAGGATCTGGAATGTGAAGTAGGAGCTGGCTCCTCTCAGTGGCTCAGCATGGAGGATGGGGCTGAGGGTTGCACCCAGCAGGCAGTATATTTGGGGCCTGTGATCCTGAGCTGCTCAGAAGTTGTGAGTTTCAGTTTCTCTATCTAGCACCTGGCTCTATCTGCTCCCAGGATGCCCAGACCACCACTGGTGGCTGGATCCACAAAGCTCGGGACAGCTGGGCTGAGTCCAATTGCAGGCAGAGGAGGAGGCCTTGGTAAATCAGAGATGCCACCTCTCTTCTCCTCATAACATCTCTGTCAGAGGAGGATTACTGTCCCAATTTTATAGATGAGCTCCTAGAGGTGAGGGAATCAACTCTGGGACACACAGGTAAGCAGCAGCAGAGCCTGGATCTGCACCCAGGTCTGTGGCTGACTGCTCCCCTCCTCTCGTACCCCAAACAGAACAGCAGGTGGAGACCACTGAAAGGGGTTCACAAAGCTCCCTGGGCTCAGCTCAGTCTGCATGAGACATGGCTGGAAGGGCAGATGGATGTGGCAGTGGCCACGGCTTTAGGAGATGTGGAGGAACCACAGCAGGCAGAGGGGAAGCAGGGAACAGAAAGCCCACTTGTCCTGGCAGCCTGGACACCCTGAGGCTGACCCCAGGGTGCTGCTGCTGAGGCCTGATGGAGGCAAAGGGCTTCTTTAGAGGTACAGGGAGCCCATAGATTGTCTCCCCACCCTGTGGTCTAGCACCTACACTGTGAGAGGCTCTGAGGGGAAACTGAGGCCCTGGGAAGGGACTGACCTGCTCGGCATACCTGGGAAAGAGGTTGACCAGGAAAGTAGCAATCTGTACCCCTTGGTCCTCACCTGGTTCTCTGTCAGCCTGTGGAGGAGGGGAGGAGAAGGCAGAGGCCGTCCTGTGTGTTGAAACAGGAAAGGTGCCCAGACGTGGGGACTGAGAGAACAAGGTTTCAGAATGGTGTCCCCAGCACCAACTCGGCTTTTGCAATCCTGAGATCAAGGTTCACAAAGTGGACATGTCAGGGTGGACTCTCTTTGCAGAAGAACAGAGTATAGGCTTTGCAAGGATCATTATCACCCTTTGTGCTTCAGTCCTGGAGTCTGAGGCTTTGTTGGCCTGCACCAGACACACCAAGAGCTGTCCGGTGCTAGGCAAGTCACTCTCTCTCTGACTCCCCTTTCTTTGCACCTAATGCATGGGCTTAGGATTCTGTCCCTGCACAGCCTGCTGCCCACCTCTGGGAAAGAATGGATGAGGTGCAGTAGGAGAAGGGACAGCAAGCATTGAGATGCCCGATGCTCCAGGGATGCCAGATGCAGGGAATGGGTGAGGAGGAGGAGGAAGCTCATGCTGGCTTCTCAGGCCAAGCCATGCTGGGCATGGAAAGTGTGGAACCAGCTTGGCGGATTCCAGAATTTCTGAGCATTTGGAATGAAGTGGTGACAAACTGCAGAATAAACGTTGACAACCAGTAGAATTTAAACTTTGCCTATGAAAACACACATGCACAGGTGCACATGAGTGCCCATATACACACAGGCAGGTGTGCACACACGCACACTCACAGACTCGGCTCAAGAGACTCAGCTCCATAGAGCCAGTGTTTTCAGCCTCCGTCTTCCAGGCCTCCGAGGCACTCTGTCACATGCTGCTCCTCCCTGTTCTGTTTATGGGTGGCACATACAGGGTTCTCTAGGGTAATTGGCTCAGGTTTCCCTAGCTACTCCCTTAGGGTTGTCAGGGAGCTATTTCCCTCCTTTGTGGTGTGAAGAACAAAGCCGCTCTGAGTACCACCTTCACACCCTTGTACACTTTTACTCCGCTGTCTGTCAGAGAGAGGCCTGGGCTGTTCCCACACCACACGTGGGGCACATTTTGGAGATGAGTGGGAATTGCTGATCATCATCCAAGGCTCTGGAATCCTTTACACCCTCACTGACCCCAAGGGGCGAGTATGCTCACGGATGGCTACCAGTGGGTGGTACCAGTCATGTTTTGTTCAATCTGCTAGTTTGGCAATGTATGTCTTTCTAGTAATTTGCATTTCCTGATTGCGGGCCTGCGGAGGCCAAGCGAGGACAGTAGGAAAATGAGCCTTTTCCTGTGAAAGCCCCTACAGCTTTGGTGAGCAAGAGGGGAGGAGGCTGGAGGAGCTGAGCCTCAGATCTGTCCCTGGGGATCCCCTGGGATCCCTGGGAAGCTTGGCAAGGTGGTGCTCAAAGCCCACTACTCTTCAGGCTGGAGCTGGGCTCCATGCTTTTGAAAACTTTCTTTTTTATTCTCTTCATCTAAAAACATTAAGCCAGAAGGAGCGGGACCTGAAGAAATAAACAGAAACTTTCAGAATCCGATAGAACTAGCAAAAGTACATAAAATTAGTGAGGTAATTTGTTTGAAATCTAGGCCAAAGTCGTGTTTGTTCTCTGCTGGAAAGGGCTGTTTATGGAGGCAGAAAAGAAAAGCCAATGGAATTACTCAACCAGGAGGGAGGAAAGACCTGGGCTACGTTCTCAGAGGCTGGCGCTCCTGTATCCAGTGAATTCCTCCCTTAATCCAGGTTTGGGGAGGGTTGGGTAGAGAGCAGAGGCCAGCTGGCTGGTCCTCCATGCCCCAGTGCTGGTATAGCAGACAGAAGAACAGGACCTCTACTCCTGTGTGCTGAGACTCCCAGAGAGACAGACTCCCACAGAAGTACAACACAGATGGAAGGACGCACGAGTCTCCACATTCCAGGACGGACCAGGAGGGCTTGGAGCAGCCAGCAGGCAGAAGGTGGCAGATGACCCGGGCCTGGTGGGGAAGGTATCCATGGGTGGGTGCAGTCCCAGCAAAGCCCTGGGGGCTGAGGGTGCAGAGCATGGTCCCGGAAGAGGCCTAGAACCAAGGTGTGTGCCAGGAGGGAGGAAAGAGGAGCTGCAGCAAGCAGGAGAGCTCAGGAGCTGGGTTCAGGAGCTTGAACTTGACTCCAGCATGCCAGTAAAGATTCCTCAGGAAGAGGGTACTGTCGTAACACCCTGAGGTGGGCTGGGATGAGGAGTGGTGCCCTGCAGCCACGGGAAGGAGAGGCTCTGCTCAGTCACCTCTGGAGAACCCACCACACAGCCAACAAGCAGAGGAGGGCTCCCTGCCTGGGCTGGGAAGGTGGCCAGGAGCAGAGCATGCTGGTGCAGTCTGGCCTTCCCCGCTGCACCTCCTTCCCCTTCACCAACGTTCTCTTTGGGAACTGAGCATTTGGCAGGCTCGGCCTCCAATGGCTCAGTGTGTCCCATTCAGGCAGGAAGCAGCACTGCCCGCATCACCACCCAGCCGTGGTCAAACTGAGGCAAATAGTAAGGAAGAAGGATAAGACAGGGCAGACTCAGTGGCAAATGTGTGGAGTCACCCAAAACCCCACACTTTCTGCTTGCCCAGGTCTCTGGGTTGGGGCATGGACCTCATAGCTCATGATCTCAAAACATCCAAAGTAGGAAGAAGGTAGACGGGGCAGTCAGTTCTCCTGCCACATCTGTCCCTTAAAACAATAAGCACCCCGCCCCGCCCCAGAAGCCCCTTAGCCAACTTTACCTTGTGTCATATAGGTCAGAACTGGGGCACAAAGTCCCTGTGTTACTGAGCCCAGGTCTGGAAGTTACCTTACAGGAAAACCTGGAGACAAGGGTTGGGGAGAAAGAAGTGGGAGCTTTGCTCACAAATGACATTCTCATCCTGGAGGTATCAGGTCATCAGGGTTACAGGGTAGGAATAATGAGGGAGACAGACTAATGAAGAGGAGGACTATTAATGTTCCTTTAGGGAATAGATAGAGCTCTTCCAAGAACTGATGGGCCATCCCTCATGGTCTTGACATTTCTGGTCACGGTAGCTGCTAAGTGTCTTTAACCTTGAAGCAAGAGGAGAGATGCTAAGCAAGTCCAAGGCAAGTTAACCTTGGATTATAGTTCTGGTCAAAACATTTCCCAAATGATCTCCAAGCCTACAGGAAGAGCTGGGTAGCATCTGACCCAAAGGCTAAGGCACCAACAGAGACAGGCACAGTATGGGTCCAGAGATGCCAAATCTTCTCATCCTGTTCTAGGCACCTATGGGACATATGGAGACCCAGATGAAGACTCCGTTTTTAGAAGAAACAGCCTTCAGTTCCTGAAAATCACCTAGGCAACCATAGTCATAATAATCGACACAGCAGAGGTGTTATCCAGAGGAAATCCAGTGGGAGACTAATGACAAGGGGGGAATGACCTCTGTGACCCCCCTCAAATTAGAGATTTTTAAAGTCTACCAAGAGAAATTGAAGTTAGAAGCCTTATCTAGGTTTTTCCTGAGTAATAACAGTTAGGAAATTGATTCCTGCAACTCGGGTATGATTCCTATAAGAGGCCCCAGGAATCAGACCTCTGTCCAGTGCCCAAGATGAGAGGTAGCCAGTGCAAAAGTGAGGGGAGTGGCTTCTGTACAAGTGGACAGGCATCCAGAGCCATGGGAATACGGTGCTGTTTCAATCAAGTCAGAGAACAAAACCAGCAGCTGGAGATGGATCTGCCTGGGAATGGCTAGAGATGCCTGGAAAGTTAAGGGAAAGTGCTGGGAGCTGTGTCCACTTTGGGGATATCTGACAGGGGCCCTTCATAGCTCCCTAGGCTTACTCATTCCTCCTCACTAGGCAGAAGCCATGCATATCTAGTAGGTGGAGTCTTCCAGCCCATGACCACTATGGAAATTCCCATGGTCAGAATGAGGATAAAGCTGTATATGGTACAATATAACCATCTTTCTGGCCAACACTGTATGACTCAGTCTGTTTCGGTGGCTATAACAGAATACCCAAGTCCAGGAAACCTATAAGGAATAGAGGTTTATTTAGCTTATTGTTCTGTAGACTGAGAAGTCAGAGCATGGCACTGGTGTCTGCCTCAGCTTCTGCTGAAGACCATTCTGCGTCGTGGCACAGTGGAGGGCATCACATGTCTCAACAGAGCAACCGCGATTCCTTCAGGTCCCTCTTCCTCTTCTCATAAGCCTATTAGTCCCATCCAAGGGCCCCACCCTCATGACCTCATTTAATCCTCATTACCTCCCAAAGGCCCCAGCCCCAGATACCATCAGTTTATAAACTGATTCATTTACAAAAATGGATTAAGTTACCAAAGAATGGAATTTAGGGGACACATTCAGACCATAACAGGGTGTTTGGTATTTTGTGTGTGGCACACAGACTTTGTTTTTGTCTGTCCTCAGATAAATTATTCCATGGACCTGATTTCTGTGATTTTATCATGGACTCAGGGCAATGTTGCCTGAGCCTGAGAGTCTATGAGGTCATTTATGTCCAATAAAAGAATAACGTGGCCTCACTGAGAGTCCAAACCAGCTTGCATGTCAGGGCTGCTCTTTCTAAACACTTCTAAACAAGCACATAAATAAAGAGAAAACAACACACACACACATTTTTGAGGTTTATCTTCATATTTAAAAACTACCAGGAAGGAGTAAGGCTAACAGAATAAATTTTCATGTACAGCCTGTGTTTAAATGTTGATGTCTTCTGACCCAGTCATTCTACTTCTAGAAAATTCCTGAAAGCAGGCAAAGTTTTATACAAAAACAGTGTCCCTTCCACTATTACTGGCCTACATAAGAAGAAACGACTGATGATCCAACAGTTAGCGAGGGACAGCAAAGGGCACTGGGAGCCCACAGCAGAGCCAGGGACTGGCAGGATTCCAGGCCCTCATGGGATGAAGGATCTCGGAGAAAGGATTATTGCAGAAGCAATAAGGTGCAGGCCTTAGGAACCACAAGGGACACCAGAAAACTTACTGAGACGGAGACTGGGTCAACAGGGTACAAGAGATTTGGAATTGGAATATATATATTGAGTAAATATATATGAGTAAAATTTTCATATTTAAGGAAGTAGAGCACAATTATCGTAAACATAGGATTTGAGTCAGAAAGACTTAGTTCAAGTCCTGGTTCACCACTACGGTGAAGACTTGGGCATGTTACTTGACTTTCCTGGTTGTTTCCTCTCCTTTAAAATGGGAGCCCAAAAGGTACTCACCACATGGAATGTCTGTGATCATGCAACAAAATGCATGTGCATCACAGACCCTCAATAAACACTAGCTCTTCTCATTAGTGAACACAAATGTTCACCATCCCAGATACTTGCCAGAATTTCTTCCCATCTGTTTCTCTGCCAGTGGGTTCTGTTGTTTCTGTATGGCTGTCTCCTTGAGATATGATAGAAGAAATAAAAATAGGTAACAGGTGATAAACAAACGAGATTATTTTTGTCTCCCTTATTGCCTTACAATTTTGAGTCAGATCCTGATCAACTCTGCACGTTAATCATTTCGAAAAACTTGGCAAAACAAAGTTGATTAGCTCTAAATTTACCCTGCTTATCTCATACGCTTTCAAGGCTGGTAAGACGAACTAGTTTTTAGGATTTATGGGAACATCCAATGATCATCATCTACCTACGATGCCACCTTCCAGATCCAACATGTAGAAGTCTCCCATCCTGAATTACCTGGGTTCCTGGCTTTTGCAGAAATTGCCCACCTCAGCTAATCTTCAAAGCCAGCCTGGCACTGTGTGAGTGGGCTGGTCTGATCCTCAAGCTGGAGACCTTTCCGTGCTTTTCTCTTACTTTCTTTTGCTAAGAGGTCTGCTGGACCTTGTCGGCTACTCAAGCTAAAATCCCTTAACACTTTCTGCAATTTTCCAGTAAAAGCTCTTTCCTGAAAATTTGTGCTTTAGTTTTAACTTCCATTCTCACTAAATCCAGAGGTCATGTTAGCCAGTGGCGCCCTCATCCCACTGTCCTCTCCCTGTGCCCCCACGGGGCGCCAGGCCTCTGCACTGGCTTGGGTGAGGGCACAGGGAGCTGATGCCAGATGACAGCTTTTCCTTCAATAGCAGCTGCAAAGCCCGGTGGTCAGAGAACACTCTGGGTGAAGTCCACTGCGGCCTTTGCCGCACCCCTGAGGGAACTCCAGGAGACCTGACACCTGACTGCTGCTCAAGCTTGCCCCATGTGGCTCCCTTTCCATCCTACAATTGGTGTTTTTCCTCTCCTCCAGCCTGGACATCCCAGAGAGCTCTCAGGGACAATGCTACTGGTGTCATGGCTGACGCACCTTCCCCAGGTATGTGTGCTTCTTCTTCTATGGTGGGGTCCTATCTACAATCTAGAACCGAAGTGCTACCTCCAAAGCAGAGGGAATCTATAGAGAAATCAAGGATGAGGAAGAGGGGCCCCAGGAAAAAACCAGAAATCTCTGGATCCCAGGTTAAGGGAGTTTCCCTCCCAGGACCACTCCTCAGGTCCAGGATCCAATAGCCGACTTCCTGCCCACTCTGCCTCCTAGCCATTGCCTGATCAGGAACCAGGACAGCCTCAGGGAAGTGAAGGAAAGCAGAGGAGGTGGGAAGAGGGTAGGAAACAGAAGAGCAGGGAGAAGATGTGACAATGACCTAGTGGTCCTCTTGTATGTCACCTGCACCCTGCTCCTGGCTGACCCTGGGTGCTGTGTATGAGCAGCCTCCTCCCTCCAGCTTCAGATCTGCAAGACTCAGCAGAAAGAGACCCAAACTGACACAGAACTGGACACAGTGTGACCTTTGTGCCCTTCCATCTGTGTGACCTGGAGCTCCTGAGGTGTCACGTGAGAACAGTACCTTCTGTGGTCTTGTAAGGATTGGGTGTAACATATGGACATGGCCAGGATGGTGCCTGTCACATAATAGGTCCTTCTGCAGTGCAGGCTCTCTCACCTACCTGGACCTTCTTAGTTCTAGGTGGAAAGCCCCTCACCAAGATGTGTTAGAGCATCAGCCCTGCACTGCCAATAAATGCACCTACTTACTAGGTGGATCTGCCTCAGGCAGTGACAGATTTCAATTATGTGATGGAAAAGAAAACTCTGAACCAGAAGCAAAAAGGAAACAACCTTCCAGCCCCCAAATCAACACCACTTTCCCTCAGTCCTGTCTTCTTTCCTACCTTGCTCAGGTGTCCTGGAACCAAGTCTGTTCCTTAATTCTTCACCAGCCCTGAGGGCAAATTTTCCTGTCAGTAGTCAGGGTGAAGAATAAGGGAAAGAGGGAAGATTGGAAGCCAGGAGCTTGTGGCAGGCCTGGGATCCTAAGGCAGGGCTGCAGTTGATGGATTCTTTAGGGCAAACTCTCCCCTGTTTAATGATTGGGCCAGCTGGGGTCAGAGGTGCCACTGTATAGCAGGATGCCCTGAGACATGGAGAAATTGTTATTGGAGTGCTTGGCCAGAGACCTAAGTCTGGGGATCCCCAAAAATCAGGCCCACCCCTCAGCCAAAAGTCAAATGGCAAAAAGTTGAAAAGATCAGCGCTGAGGATCCATCGCCCATCACTACCCACCTAAAGAATCTTCCTCCTCTGCCAGTTTTAGAGCATCGATGATTAGCAGAAGAAATCTTTTTTTCCTGACAATTTTCAATTTTAGTCAATAGTATATATATGTGTATATATATGTATATATATGTATATATGTATATATATGTATATATATGTATATATATGTATATATATGTATATATATGTATATATAGTGAAGTAGAGTGAATAAAGCACAGAAATTTTTAAAACATGAGTCTTCAAAGAGAGCTTTTAAAACATTGTTGATGAGTTAGCTCTGAATTCAAATTCCACACTTTCTATTTCCGGGCTTTCAGCAGCCATTTCCTGTCTGAGTCTCACTTTCTTCTTCTGTGAAATAAGAGTAATGCTTCTCTGTGTGGGCACAGTAAGAAATATATTTTATATCGTGTCTCAGTACTCACAGAAGTATATACTGTTCCTAAAACCTTGAATTGCAGTCCCAAACCTGCACATTACCACAACCAAGTACTATTTGGGTGATTCACTTAGGTGGTAACTCTGCCCTCTACTGGCCTGAGCCCACTTAAGGTTTATACTATTTGTTTCACCTCCAAATATTAAAGCATTTGATCACTAGGATTGGCAAGTAACACAATATGCATATCTTGTATTCCCTTTCTAAAAGATTAAACATTCTATTAAGTTTCAATTTCAAAGTATCTAGTAGAGAGAATTTTGAACTTTCTCCCCTCAAATGATGTTGGAGTTGATGATATGCCAGGAGCTCTAAAATATCACACTATAACCTATAAATAAGTACAATTGTTACATGTCAATTAAACACAAATATTAAAAATTATTTTAATAAATCTGAAATTCTAAACATATTTCAGTACCAGAACTTTAGATAAAGGTATCACTTGTTTAAATGCCTTTTTTTCCAAATACAGTCACTGGGGTGAAAGCTCTAATGTGAATTTGAGGGACATACAGTAATTCAGTCCATATCACTATTGATTCCATCAAAAGTACTTCATATGACAGCTGCTCCAGAAGGTAAAAATTTAACCACCTTATACTAAAAGCCATCTACTCCACAGTCTTCTAAACTTACTCCTCTCTCTCTCTCTCTCTCTCCCTCCCTCTCTCTCTCCCTCTCTCCCTCTCTCTCTCTCTCCTAGAGAACAACAGCTTCATTGAGGTTGTCATTCAGCGTCTCCAGGAGGCAGTGAGCAGAGAGGATCTGCAACTACTGCTGACTCACAGTGGAGCCTGGGAGGTCTTTGTGGAGATGGCTAAGTTGACCAGGTCACCTCCATGGGTATCCCCAGCTATGCCACCCAAATCCCTGCTGGGCTGGTTTTCTTGGGGGCAGACACACCTCCTCCAAGAAGTTTCCTGCGGTTGGGGTTGAGGTGCCCCTTCTCAACAATCCCTGTGGGATATTTCCTCCATGTCATTTCTGGGAGTGGATGGCCTCAGGTTGAAAGGACATGGTACCCACAGTGGGCAAGATCACTTCTACTGTCTGCTAGTTATGTGACCCTTGCAAGTTATTTCACCACTTTCAGCCTTAGTTTCTTCAACCATTGCACTTTATTTTGAGAAAAATAAGATAGTGCACAAAAGTGCTTAGTATATGGCTGACACACAGCAGATGTTCAAGCAAAGGTAACTGTACAAAGGCCAGGTAGGAAGACAGCAGGGCCATGAGTCTTCTCCTTGGAGATGGGAGCCAAGAAGAAGACTTGCTTTAGGACAGATCAGTGCCATCTGGACGTGATAAACAGTGTTCCTATGTATTCTAGTTTTGGCCATTTTTCTCCCCATCTGAGGAACTATACAAATGCATCACAATCCTTCTGTGGACCAGGAGGCAGAACAGTCACATTGGAGTTGGCCAGAGCTAAGTGGAATCATGGCTTATGCCTTGGAGACTTGGATTGCCATCTGTTCGGTGGGAATCACACTTTAATCTGACAGGACCATAATGAAGGGCCGGGAGTGACTGTGGGGCAGAGATGGGGAACACAGTGCAAATACCATTCCCAAAGACCCAAAGAAACCTGGACTAGGGTCAGAGCCAAGGCTCAGGGGACAGCTGGAGAGGGCTTAGGATGGAGAAGTAAGAAGGCTGGGGCCAGAGGTGGGACCAGAGTCCAAGAAGTAGGTGTTGCAGGCACAAAGCATGGGGAGGGCATCAGCCCAGCGGAGGACACATGAGTGGAGGAAAGGACTTTCTTACCCCTTGCTGGGATCCATGCCTGATGGGCACAGTGGGCTGTGAGTGGTTGTTTCCCTCACAACCTATGGATGGCAGACAGTTCTCAGTTGCCCTTTGGGATCCCCTTCTATCCCGCAGAGTAGTGTGACTCCTGACCAACAGAAAGCAGCATGGCTTAATGTCCACTTTCAAAGTCCGAACCATTGGCTGCCTGTTTTGTGTAATTGGAGAGGGTCTGAGGACACTCAAAAGCCTCCCACTTCCTCTAGTACCTTGTCCAAATACAGGAGCTTTCCAACTTAGCGATTCACACAGATGGGTCTCGATGTCACATGACTTCGCACACGGCCTTGGCATGTACCCATGTGAGGCTGTCACCAGCTAGGGTGTCAGTTAGGCTGATGACATCTGACTGTAAGGTCCCAAAGGTCGGAGTGTAAGGTGTGGAGTCAGGAAGTGGTAAGGTGGGTGGACAGTCAAGGTGGAGTCAATCAACTGGCTTTGCAGTCTAATGGGGAAGCAACTAGACCCTATGACCTTCAGCCAGAAAGGGCAAAGGCATCAGGCATGGAATGAGAGAAGGCAGCGGAGGAATTCGTCTTTACAATCTTTCTGGCTCTAAATTCTAAAAAATATTTTTTAGTCATAAGTATCCAGAGTTAGCCAACCACCCGAGACCACCCTTATTTTTGACACCAATGGCAAATGTGGGAACTTCCCCAAACCACCCACAAGGCTGATGATTCACTAGGACTTGGAGCTCACTGAATATGGTTGTGACACAGTTAAAGTTTATCATGAAAAAAGGACACACGTTAAAATCAGCCAAAGGAAGAGACCCGCAGGACAGATCCTGGGAAGATTTCAAGCGTGAAGCTTCCATTTTCTTCAGTATACAGTGTGGTCCTGTATTAATGTGTAACTATGCGCATGGAGGATCGCCTATCAAGGAGGCTAACCCTGTGAGAGAGAGTTATTCTGATGCATGTGGAAAGAGGAAGACATTATTCAGCACGGTTGCACTGGGGAGAAAAACGGGGAGCAATTCTGGATGCAGTAAAGACAGCTGGGGACTTAGAGCCAACAAGGAGTGAGAGCACTGGAGAGCAAATCATTTACCGGGTGTCTAGAACAGGGGACTCTCAGGCATAGTCATGCACGCCTACAATCCCAGCACTCTGATAGGCAGAGGCAGGAGGATACCAAGTTCAAGTCCAGCCTAGGAAACTTTATAACTTAGCAAGACTCTTTTTTTTTTATTTTGCTTAAATCCTTTTATTGGTAATTTTAGGTATATTGGGAGCTTGTAATTGTACATGATGTATCTTGGTTCTTATTTTTTCCCCATTCCCTGTGCTCCCTTCAACCCCTCCACCCTTCCCTATTTACAAAGATTTCATTTCCATTTTTTCCTTGTCTCATAATTTTTCCTTTCCCTTAAATAAAATATAAAATGAAAAGAACTGGAGATATTGCTCAGTGGAAAGGCTCAGTTCAATCCCCAGTGCCACACACACACACACACACACACACACACACGTAAGAAAGAGTAGGATGTTCTTTGACACTGACCAAAAGGGATGCTTCCTAAAGCAGGTGAAGACTAATCCATCAGAGGTCAGGAATGGGAGCTTGACTAGATGTCGGGTGGGGGTGCTCTCTGAGCTGATGGTGGGACTCTTGCTAAGGCTGGGCATTACAAGTATGGACATGGAAGGGAAAAGTTGATGTCCAGTTGAGAAGAGCTTCAGAAGGCTGTAACTAAACTTTGCTCAAGGAAATCATTTTTTCCATCCCAAGCCCTAGCTTTCTGGCTTTCCGTTGGGGCTGGCTCACATACTGTCCTCATGGCCATCCCCTCCCAGAGGTCAGTCCCTTTAGCTTCCAGTTCCAATATAGGACAGAAATATCCAGGGTCAGGGATTTAGCTTAGTGGTCCCGCCACCTGCCTTGCAAGCGCAAGGTCCCGAGTTCAATCCCTGGTACCAAAAAAAAAAAAAAAGAAAGAAAGAAACATCCCAAAGCCCACATAGCGCACCACATTGTTAGGGCTGAGCATACTTTATGGGCAATGCTCAGGATCGGGTGTGTTTCCAAATCTGGGTATTTTCTGATTTGGAAATATTTTCAGATACATAATGAAACATCTCTGGAATGGGACCAAAGTCTAAATACAAATTCAGTTATGTTTCTTTATACTTTATGCACATAATGTGAAGGTAATTTTATTAAACTACTTCTAGTGAGGCTGAATTTTACAGTGACCCCTGCCATGAGGTCCACTGTTTTGTGATATCATTTTTAATTGAGAATTGTAGTATTACAGATACTCAACATGCATGGGCTCATGATTAAAGTCCCCAGGAAAGCAAAGAGATTCCTAGAAGGCAGGGCATTCCTTGATCACTCCCTAGTAGCTTAGGGCAAAGGGAAGATTTCTCCCTGAGAAAGGTTGATTCTCACTACACAATAAAATTCTGTAAACTAAGGAGATTTTTGCTCCAATCCCACTTTTCTGGGTTCACCCACAGAGTTCTTGCTCTACAGATCCTTGGGTAGTGGTGTCACTGAGTTGAATGAGAGGCATCTTTATGGAATGCTTGCCACTCAAGAGGATCATTATGCACATAATGTGAAGGTGACTTTTATTCAATAACTCTTTATTGGGTAAAACCACAGACGACCTCCGATTACTAGACTTCTTCACTGAAGGAAAAATTGTGTACACCTGTAAAATTCCTTTCCATTTGATTCACAGTAAGTCCTCTGTGATTCATGCAGGATAGACTTTATGTATCTCATTTTACAGAAAAACACATTGTCTTTTGTAATCATTTGACATCTACTGTTACAGGGAAGAGGCCGATGCACTACGCGAAGCTCTGAATGTATGTACAGCAGACACAGATGAAGACCTGCGGGCTAGGGAGAGGTATTTGAAGGAGTTTTCTGAGATGAAAATGGAGCTTCAGAAGCAGATAGCCCAGCTCCATGCCCTTGCAGACAGAATCGACAGAATACACAGGAACTGCACCGTGTCCAACATGGTGAGCAGCTCTGCCGGTGCGGCCTCTGGAGTCCTAACCATCCTGGGTCTGGCTCTGGCGCCTGTCACAGCAGGGAGCAGTTTGCTGCTATCAGCAACTGGGATGGGGCTGGGAGCAGTCTCTGCTATGACTAGTGCTGCCGCTGCCATAGTGGAACAATCAAGCGTGTCGTCTGCCAAAGCTGAAGCCAGGTGCCTGGTGACGAACAGCAAGGACACAGCGAAGGAGTTGGCACAGTCTGTGGGTCAGGTAGAACTCGATGTTGTTCTCAAATCCGTGCAAGGCATCAGTGTGCTGAAAGGTATGAAGAAGAGCATCCATGCCTTGAAACTAGCCAGGGCTGACGCTCGCTTACTGGCCAACGCCAACCGCTTCACAGGGACTTGGAAAATCCCATTCCGAAAGGGTGAACGGGTACAGAAAGCCTTTGGAGGCACTGCTCAGGCAATGTCCAAAGGAGCCCGGATGATGGGTGCAGCCGTTGCAGCTGTCTTCCTTCTGGTGGATGTGTACAGCCTGGTGCAAACTTCCAAACATTTGCAAAAGGGGGCAAAGGCAGAGTCAGCTGAAGAGCTGAGGCAGCAGGCTCACGTTCTGGAGAGGAAGTTGGAGGAGCTCATCGGGATCCAAGCAAGATTACAGTCGGGCTTGCCTCAGGGAACTCATTCCACAAGAAGAGCAGACAGAAGCCACGGGAGGTGTGTTTTTCAAGGGCATAAACAAAAACAGATGGAGGGGGAAGGGGCCAGCGGAAGCTGCTCTCAGCTCCGCTCGGGGTCTGGGCGCCTCATTCTGCAGCTCACCACAGTGGGAGCCTCCCCCTGGCGGTGGCAGGCTCAGAGACGGCAGGCTAAACCGAGCACACTGAAGCCCAAGCCCAAAGGAGCCTCAGAGGCCACGGCTCCGGGGCTCCCTGTGAGAGCACCGTCCAGGTGTGGGGTCCGCGAGGGCGGGGTGCGCATCAGGCCGGACCGAAGACGGGACCCTCCGCTCCAGGGAGGATCCCGGGAGCCATCACGTTCTCCTGCTTTAATTTACTAATATGCTGACTTGCCTAACCTACACCAGTGTCCCCATCTGAGAAAGACATCAGGATGCCACAGGTCTCTCCCCTGTTAAGTTGAGCTGCAGAGCTTCCCTGTGAATTCTCCTAGCTTTCCAGGACTCTGGAGAAGATCCTAGAGGACTTTGCATGTGGAAGCCCTTTGGAAACCATGAAGCACTCTGTAGATGAAAAAGTCATTCTGTAACAGCCCTGAGCCCCTTATGTGAAGGTGAATGTCTCTGGACAATACAGGTGGCCATATATACACAGGAAGTAGATGAGAGTAAACGAAAAGCCTCCCCTCTATTTTATGTCTGAAAATGGGTCAGTGTTCACATAGCCACACGTCCTTCCACACAGGGGGATAAGAGCCAGAAGAAAATGCTTGACCATGGAAGACTGAAGCTACTACAGGACAGTGCTGCCTCAGCTTTCATTTGCATTCCCACCCCTGGAGGATCTTGTGTCAAGGCAGATTCAGATTCAAAGGGTTTGGATTAGGTCCCAATATTCTGATTTTCTAACAAGATGATGCGGGCTGCTGTTCTGTGAATGGCAAGAGTTTAGAGCCCTTCCTTAGGCAACTCCTCTCCCCTGGGTGCAGTCAGCAAAAGGAAAGCACTTCCTGGTCAGAGGCTAAAAAACCACCAGAAAATAAACAGCATGTGCTTGGATGACACTGGAAACGAAACGAACTACTTAACAAAGAAACACATTCATTAAAAGCTGACACTATTACTCACATTGAGATGGACTGGAGTCAAAGGTGGGCTACCCAGGCATTCAGTGTCTAAGTGCAGCTGCTTTGAAGTTTCATTTTAAGGTGTAACAGGAATCATTGTATCTAGTTATATCCTTCCCTAGAGAGGAAAGTTCAAGTTTCTATAAAGGAGGAACGAAAGCTCTCAGAATTAGGTACTTGTGGAGTTCTAATTTATAGGAATCTGTACCTTCCTCCAAAAGTTTCTAATGGTTATGGTTTCTGGGAAAGAATATATCAGTTTTTCAATGCATAGTCTTAATCTACAAAACAAAAAACTTCCAACAATTTAAACTAGAAAAACATTTTAGAATTTAGGATATCACGGGAAGAGAATGAAGTGTCATATGTGTGCGTGTGTATAGTTATTCTGTATTATTAGAAACTTCCAGAGCACAGCATGCATTTTCAGAGACATTGTCTTAGCATTTAAACTGCAAGGCCTTTGTGTAGAAGCCCTCCTCTTGCTCCCCGACAAGGCCTATAGATCGGTAACTCTGGCAATCTTGTATGTGATTTATTAACATGTCATGGTCTTGACCAAGTAGACCTGACTTTGCTAATTACTTCTCAGTTCTTTTACCTTGTATTTCTTTGGTTAAGAAGCAGCCAGCACTGCTTGTTTTACCAAATATACATTGTCCAAATAATGTCCAAATAATGCAGAAAATATTAATAATATTACAGATAACAACATGAGATTATGTGTGCAGATCCCTGCAGCCTGGTGGGCACTGTCTTGCTTAGTAATAGTTTTTCCTTGTGCTGTTGCCACTGCCAGACAGACTGCTTATGACCTCTTTGGCTTTCTTAATGACTTTCAGGGATCACTAAAATGTTTCTTTTTTCCTAGATGCTAACTTCATCTCCTTTTATGAATACAGTATTAGTTTAAAGAGATATTCAATTTAAAGCAAACTTGTAGATTCAGTCACTCTTGATTGATATTAGGCAAGCAGAAAAATAATAGGTTGATTTTTATCCTCTACCTTTCATATCTTTGATGATGAAGGTGGCTACTTTTTTTAAACTATAGCCTGATATCTATTGTTTGAAAACTTGTTTGAAAGTTGTCTTAACCTACATCATTCTTCCGTTTTTATCCATAGAAATGAGAAAATATACATATCAGCTACTTGTTTCTTTTAATTACTCAAATTAATATTTTTCTTGAAATAAATATTAATTACAAAGTTTTAAATTGTCATATTAATATTTTACATGAAGTAAGCCCAATATGTTTTTTGGTTTTTGTTTTTTTGGTACCGGGGATCGAACTCAGGTCTTTGCGCTTGGGGGGCAAGGCAGCGGAACCATTGAGCTCAATCCTCAGCCCCATTAAGCCCAATATGTATACACAGCATAGCGGTAAATACTTACATCTCGAATAATAAGTAATTCATGAAACCAAGTAGGAAATTTAAGCACTGCTAATATGTCTACATATTTGTATTTCTTTTTTTCCTGGACTTGGTCTGTTTAAAATAATAATTGTGGCCTATTGTTTTATTTGTTATTCTGTCATTTAAAATATAAATTTTGGTGTCTTGAATTATTTGTGTAAAGCTGAGTTTATAGGCAAGTAGAAGTACAAATGAATAAACAGTGATCACAAAAAAGAAAAAACAAAGAGATGCATTTTATTAAAAGGGACAGAGGGTGAGAATAAGTCTGGAACTGGGTATTTAGGAGTCTGGCATTTCTATGGCTGAGCACAGCAAGGGAGGGACTCATGCAGATACCAAGTGGGTTGAGGAGAATGCAGGAAACTAAAGCCTTTAATAAGGGACAAGAGGGAACTGAGGAGTGCAGGAAACGGGAAAGAAAAGTTTATTTCTAACTAGTGAATACACTGGGAGCCTGCTAGATGCAGGTGCAGGAACAAACAATGACAGGATCAGGAAACTGAAGAGCCAGAGATGGGAGGAAGCCAGAGCAGGAGCTGTTGGACTCTGGGAGAAGAAACAGGACTCCATTTCCCACCCTCCCCGTAGCCCATGGCCCAGGCTTCTTTCCTCCGGTGGCCTCTAGCTCTGTCTTCCTAGGGTCAACTCACTCTTGCCTCAGCCAGGCACTGACCTTGATGGTGATGGTGGTGGCAATGGTGGTGACAGCAGAGTGGGTGGAGAACTTGGTACATTGCCATCCCCCTGGGGCCAGGCTGTAATGAGAGACCAGTGAAATTCCAAATGCTGTGTTGGAAAAACAGTGGTTGTTTGGGGCGAAATAATGTGAAATCAGATTTGAAGACTGGGTTAAGGATCCCATTGCTCTGCAGAGATAAACTAGCTGGCGATCAAAGGATGTAGGCTCTCTGACCCTCAGTTTCCCCATCAGCTGAGGAAGAAGATGCTGGACAAGAGGTATTTCACATCTATCAGGCTTATCCTGACTTCTGTTCTATAGACATGGATTCAATAAATATGAACTGATTGTTCCAGAAAATCAGGTGTGAATGAAATGACTTACATGGGCAAAAAGTGCCATGAGACTAAAGCAGCAGGAAGCTTCAGGATTACCCAGAGTATGGTCTCTAATAGGGACCTATACACAGAAACATGACCAAGGGCAGCAGCAAGAGCAAGACCATGCACGCCGGCATCGAAGTCTAAGCAGTGCAAGCAGCCAGGCCAGTTTCCTTCCTGTGGCAGCTTAAGTGCCTGCATAGCAGTGGTGAGGGCCGCTGGACCTCTGGATCCACATGCTGGCTGCAAGCCATGCTTTCGGTGTGCCTGACCTCAGGCCTTTGTCTCTGCTCCAAGATCCGACTGCCCCAGTTAATTTGGAAAGAAAAGGAGGTGGTGTGGTTTGTCCAAAACCCAGTTCTCCATCAGCTTCCACCAGGGACCTTCCCTTCCTGCTCCCTTCAGTGCCGGCCAAATCCTATTGTGGTTACTGTGCTTTCCCTCCATGTTCCTTTTGCCTGCCACATCCAGATGCCCTCTGAGCAGGGCTCCACTTTCAGTTCCTCTGCCCACAGCAGTTTACCCATCCTGGTCTCAAGGGCTCTGCTCTCCAACCTGTAGAAATAGACACCGCCCCAGGCTTGGCAGAGGGCTTCTGTGCCTGTAGGGCAGTGTCTGGGGGTAGGGTTTTACACTGTGTCAGACTTTTCCACTGTTAGGGGAAATACTAGGGGAGTGGCTGCTCTGGTCTGGCTTTGCCTTATCACCCTTTCTCCTCCGCATCTCCAGAATGTGATCCCCACTCCATGCCAGAAAGTTCTGCATGCCTGCAGCTCACAGTGTGCTGCTGCTCTCTACTTAGGGCAGGGGTCTTTACCTGCCATGCTAAATGGTGAGCTCCAGGCAGGATGCACAAGGCACAGCTTACCCCCGTGTTTGGGAGGATCTTAGGTGGGGCAAGGGTTGCCTGTTTTAATGCTACTGGCTCTCCCCTTCTCCCCAGCCTTTCTCCATGCAGACCATGGCTTCCCTGACCCATACCTGCAGGTAACTCCCACACTGGCTTTCTTCTTCCAAGTCTCCACAAGCCTTTGCTTAGTGCAGTGCCAGAAGAGCTCTGACTTGGGCACCATTCTCTGCCCCCAACCCCGTGATCCGTTTTCATTCACTGTCTCAAGGACTTCACTTTCTGACCCCTGAGTGCCACAGTCCTGGGTCTCCCTGCCCTCTGTAGTCCCCAGCAAGGTGTTCTCAGAGCTCCCCCATGGGATCCTCCTGGCAAGTGTGGGCAGCAGCCTGAATGTCCCACAAGCACAGCAATCCTGGCGTGTTTGGGAGGAATGGGCAACTAATGTTTTCTGCATTGCTCACCCTTCTCTTTCTCCATAGTCCTGCCACTTCCGGGCACTCCTCACTCAGAGTGCCGGTTTTCAAACTCCAGGTGCACTCTGCAGTTGTCTCTACATTGCTCTTTTTCAGTTTCTCTAAAGCCCTGGCATACACGTGTCTCACATTTAGTCATCATCTTCCTGCTGGGGAGGTTAGAGGGGCTGTGAGCTCATCCATCATCCAGACCATCGCTGAAGAGCTGGCTCCCCCCTTCAGTAGCTCGATCCTCTCCCAAGACAACATGTATACTGGGGCTAGGGTGGAGAGGGTACTGTGATTCAGGTGTGGTCTGGCTTCCCCTTACAAGCTCTCAGACAGTTGTTTTATTACAATAAATCTCTTTTCATTTACCCCATCTCAGGGCTCCTGCTTTTGTTTGGTACAAGTTTAGAGATAAGATCCCTTGCTGTCACACCCTAGGTAACCATAATGACCCCTGGAAAAAAAATTTTAGGAGACAAGGTGGAAAATGAAAACGCATAATTTAGATCTTGTTAACAATTAATCTTGGCTTGGCCTGGGCTCTCCCTGAGGAGCCCTCCATTGCAGTCTGGGAGAGCAGCAGGGCCCAAGGCCTGAGCTCCGCCCCCAAGATCTCTCCATCTCCATCCAGAAGACCTGCTCTGTGCAGGGCCTGAGCCCCTCCAAGAGGAGCCCACCATCCCTACCAGGAGAGCAGCTTTGCCAGAGGACTGAACCCGGCAGGGAGCCTGCTACCTCTGGGGCCTAGACCTCCAGTGACAGAGAGCAGAAAGGGCATCATTCTGAGCCCAGGAAGATGGCTAGGCGGTGAGCAGCAGAGAGAGAGCCTCTCTTAGGCTTGTTGAGAATTGAAGCCCACTGAGAGTGCGAAGAGAATCACTCCAATAAAGAGTCAGCGGAGGAGGACAGTGGCGAGAAAATACATTCAAGTTTGGCTTCATGATACAGCTATGACCTGGAAACAACAAGAAAAACAGCACTCTTCACTCTGACTACTATCTGCTTTGGGGAATATAGAGCCCTTGACTGCAGTGAGTCTGGATGTATGCTCCAGACCAGTAGCATCAGTATGACTTGAGAACCTGTTAGAAAGGAAAAGATAGAGCCTCACTTCAGACCTACTGAGTCAGAACCTCTGGAGTTGGGACCCAGAGTCACCTGCAGATGCTTCTAATACTCCTAAAATTTAAGATCTTTTGCATTGTTTGATGTTTATTAAA